TTCCTTTGCTTCCCTTTCCTTTGCTCAATGCACCTAACCAATCAAGAACAAACACAATAAGTAACCAAAATAAAATAAAATAAAGACATGATCAAAAGAGTACTAATTCCTAATTGTTTCCAAAATACAGCGTTGCCTCTGTCCCCAGTAACGGCGCCAAAACTTGGTGTGTCGCTTACCAATGCACCAAATTACATACAAAAGTGTGTAGTGTGGCCAAGTTTAAATTTAGAAAATGCCACAACTACCTCTAACTACTAATATAGCTAGAGTGAGTAGGGATTGTCCCAAGGGAAAGAGCGCAGTATTTGTGTGGAAACAATGTTGGATTAGTAGGTCGAGTGATCAAAAAATGGGTTGTTGGTTGAGTTAAACTACAAATTAAACTAGACAAATGCAATATAGAACAACTAAATTGAGTAAAGTGTAGAGAATGAGAGAGAGGTTTTGTGACTTAGAGGTCACCACTAAATATCACCTTCATAGACATTCAATGTTTGATGGATGAAGGGAATTATGTATTGCAATACTAGTGTGTGTGTCATTGATTGAATCAACAAGCATGGATGACTAGATAAGTATATATTGTCTAGACAAACTAGTGAATAACACAATATATCAAATTGAGTCATTATCCCTTCCTTTAAGTCCACAATCAACACATATCATTAAATTAGAGAAAAATACTACTTGCATTCATAAGTATGGAACATCAAACAACAAGCATGGATTGTCCTCCCATCTAACAAAGTAAAGCAACTACATTTCAACTAAGATAAGGACATAAAAATTAAACTAATTAAACTAAGAAAGAGACACAATTCATCAAAAAATGAGTATGAACCATCAAACAAATCACAATAGTATTCCATTTAAGCACCATGCCTTGACCATCACTAGATTCATAGCATCAACACACATAGATATGCATCAATATCACAAAACCTAGAGATAAACACATGAATATCTATTCTATCATTCATAGACATATGAATAAAATGAAATGGGCAATTGGAAGTATTAAACTACACAAATCATGATAGAAACAAGATTTATATATATATCAAAGGTCAACACAAGAATTACAATACTAATCCCCATTAATTACAATACATCAAAGTCTAGGAGGCATGCTTAAGGCTAGCTTTAGCCCCAAGAAGATGTTTAGCCACTCATTGATGTTGTCATCCAACCCTCAAGGGCTATCTTCATGCTAGAAATCTTCTTCTTCCTCCTTAGTGGAAACCCTAGAAGAAAGGAAGAACTTTCCTAATTTGTGTATTCTCTCTCTAATCTCTAGCCAAGTCTCTCTAATCTCACCAACCTCTTTACTCAGAATAGCCAAAATCCTTATATATATAGCTCAAATGTCACCCCCAATGGTTAGACCTCATGCACTAGGACCTCCCAATGATTGCACCATGAGCACACATTTAATTTAGCTTGAAATCAACTTTTCATGCAACTCGAGGCAGTTCGATCGATCTTAAGGTTGGTTTGATTGATCGAACCATGGCGGCACCTTTTTGGAATTAAGACAAGGCTGAGATAATTTTGGGAAGAGGACAAAAGTGATACGTGCGGATAAGATCAAAGATGTTCGATCGATCGAAAAATTGTTGGATCGATCGAAGAAGGCATTTTACTGAGGATAAGAACAAAAGGCTCAATCCATCTTGGCATTATTGGAACAATCAATGTGAGATCGATTTGAGATATGTTCGATCGATCGAAGGGGCTTCCTTTCATCAACTTACTTCCACTTTGCTCCTTTCTTCCATTGAGCTTGAAATTGCATCTTTTATGTTCTAATTCAGCTGGATTAACTTATTTTGGGAATAAGCTCCTGAAAAGGGAAACAACATGAAATTAGACTAAAACGGAAAAATAAGATAGAATAAGGTCCTAAAATATTCAAGTTTAAGGAGTTGAAATGCGTATTTTTCAGTGCTCATCACCTGTATAAAAAATAATTTAAATGTGTTTTATCATGATCCATTTATTAAATTAATGAGTTACACGTCTCGTGTTCTTGTCAAAGTTTCTTGACACGAATAATACATTTGTTTCACTTCATTTAACAAGATACTCACGTCTTGACATGAACACAACACACCAATACAAATTACTTATCTTGAAAAATATGTCTCCCAAAGAGATGAGACAGGTCCAAACACCTAATAATATATGCGTCTCTATTTTAGTGAGGGCGGGAGAGACTATCCCAATTTGAAAGGTTGAAGCTGCGCAATTTAAGAATATTCATTCCGAAGTGTGAACACGATGGATTCCTCAATGATACCAGTGCCAGATACAACCTTCCCATTATAATTAGGGCGTGTGTGGACCGCACATTGTCAACACTTATTAAAAGTAGATGGGATTCTCATAACCAAAGTATGCGGTTAGATTGACCTTTAAAAAAAAAAATTGTATGGTTAGGAGCTTTTAAAATTAGTAGCAGAACGCATCCTATATATATTATATATATGTATGTGTTAAAAACTTCAATCTGGAGCTGGCAAAATCGTCCTGAGCAAAGAAGTTGACTTTATGAAGCTTACAAATTTTTTTTTTTTATTTTATTTGTTTGTATATTATATATATATATATATATGTATGTGTTAAAAACTTCAATCTGGAGCTGGCAAAATCGTCCTGAGCAAAGAAGTTGACTTTATGAAGCTTACAAATTTATTTTTATTTTTTTATTTGTTTGTTTCTTGGTGTGTGCCTTCATCTATTAACTTAATGACGATGTCATTCAGTCGATTTAATGGATAAGAGCGTGAATTTACGGTGAACAACCCTCATTATACACAGCTGTACTCAATTTATTAATTTTTTTTCCCAAATGATAATGAAATTTAATGTATATATATATTATTTGGTTAGGACAGTTGGAATGATACTAAAGTATGCTATATTGGAAAAAGTTTATAATATTGCACGCATTTTCATGATCAACTTACTCTATTTATTATTGTTGTAATTTGCAAAAGTCATTGTTTTCAAAGTGGTTAACAACTCAGTGGTGTTATCCCAATTGAGTCCCTATCAACACTTAAATAGAGATGTCCATTACAAGCATATATATATGGTATTAATAAAGAGGAAAAAACTAACTAAAAATTAATAGAGTTTGAAGGACTAACTGAAGTGTGTGCACAGAGATTAGATTCTACAAAAGGGTCATGAAAATATCCCCTCAGAATATATCTATATATATAGTCATACACATACATACATGGTGTCATTGTCTTTGCTTAGACTTTTGGGTATGATTTGCTAATTAAAAGCTTGAAAATGACAACATTGTTTTGGTCTGAATTATATAATGAGCCTTTCTTGTGGATGCCACACTCCCCTCAGTAAAAAAAAACTGACAAATCTTCAATCCCATTTATTTATATGATAAAAAATGATAACCAATACACACACACACACACACACACACACACACACACAACACCAAATGCATTTATCTCAACTGGTTTTGAAATTTGTATGTAATAGTGCTGCCATATGTTACAATTTATCCAAGAATTCACTTGCTCAGGGTGCATCTGCATGATAATTAAATTTTCCTATTTTCATTATTAAATTACAGCCGTCAATGTGGCAATAAGGAAGCAGATCATCTCTTACCGTTTCATCTTGTGCCATGTCCTTAAATTGTTTGTGCAAAAAATTGCATCACTTATTCAATAACTTCACATTGCTTACATAACAATTACGTTATATCGTTATTTCACCGTATTACACTTCATCATATAATTATTATATTATGATATAATGCATTGCACGAGAGATACAAATCAAGGCACAAGATTCCCTCCACAGGAGGGAATCGAGATTCAAATTAAATATGTGGGATCATGAAAAAAGAAGGAAAAAAAAAAATTGCATATAGCATAGGATAATGTTTAGCTACTTATTAGTGAGGAAAGTGAAACTACTCATCCGTATGTGGTCTAATAATAAAATAACACATCACATTTAATAACAAAATAATCAACACCTAAAAACACTATATAGTTTATTTAATGATTGATCCGAAAAAGTAGAGAAATGTGTGAATTTTTTTATTATTAAATATAATGTGTTATTTTGTTCTTGGACTACATAAAGATTAGTAACTTCACCCTACTCATTAATAAGTAGTTAAGCATTCTCTTATAGCCTATAGACATCAAATGCCTACTTATCCTCAATACACGTAGATGTCCACTAGTACGCCCTTTGTATTAGTTTTTTAGAGGTGGTGGTTTTCTACCGCTCACTTTAAGCTGGGCCACATCCCACAAGCCCACCTCCTAAAACTTATACGGATTATATGCCTCAAGGCTCCTCAGATTAGAGTGTGTATATATATATATTAAAAGTGGAAGAGTTAGCATTTTTGCGGAATGAAGGAACAAAGAAGTGATAATATTCTATGAGGCTTTATATATTTTTGGTGGTGGATCATACATTTTTTTTTTTTTTTTTCAATTTCCTATTTTTATTAGGTTTTCATTAAATTAAGAGTTATGTTTCTTTAGAGAAAATTCTTGTTAGGTAATAGAACTTTGGTTCCAAGGAATTGATTAACAACTCTATACATAGATTAATGCTGATACATTGATTAACAACTCTATATAAAATTGAAATTTATTTTTCTAAAAAAAAAAAAATAAACTCTATACATATATTCATTAATTATACATGGTGTGTTTGGGTTAATCAATAATTGAGAAAAATATTAAAAAGAGAGATTTTATTCTTTTTAAATGCTGATAAGAGTTTTTGTTGGATTCTATCAAATTTGGAGAGTCTTAATATATCATCTTCAACGCATACCATGTGATCATCATAAACTGAAGGTGCATGTGATCGGGCTTTGGGCCCTATTCTTTAAGTTTGCCGAGGCTAACTGCGCTATATGGCCTGTTGTAATCCATTTCTCTATCTATAATATTTATTTCACTTTTCAAAAAAAAAAAAAGTTGCATGTGATCCTCATATACATATTGACTTAGTTTTTTTTAGCCTACTACAAAATAAAAGAGCAAGATATATAGTGTATATTCAAGAACAAAAAGGATTGAACGTACCCGTCGAAGATTAATAAAAAGGGACAATGAAAATAACTTTCTTTAATATTTTTAATCACTTTTTTTGCATCTCCAAAACATATACTGAAAATTAAAAAGGGTCAAAGTACAACCAAAATACCAACAAAAATATATATATATAAATTAAAACTGATGATAAAATGATCACAATATTAATACAAATAGTTACCCAAAAAAAAAAAAAAAAAAAAAAAAAAAGGAGGGAAAGCAAAATAATAGTGTCACATTCCAGTAGAACCAACCAACTTGGTTAAGCCAAAAGTGACCCCCATTGCAAGCCAACCCCCAACCAATACCCTCAACGAGGACTTCACCACAGGTGCCCCTCCCATCACTGCACCCAACCCTCCAAACCCTACCAGTGCAAAACTCACATTCCCCACCACCAACCCCAACCTCAGCTTATAGTCCTTCACGAACGCCGCCGCCAGCAGTGGCACCACCGCCCCCACAGCGAACGACAAGGCGGACGCCACTGCCGCCCGGAGCGGGTTCGGCAACCCCCTTTTCTTGTCCTCCAATGCATTTCTACTCATAATATTGTTCTCTCTCTTCATTTGAGCCACTTCTATGTCATACTGCGAGTACACAGACACAAACTCTCCGATGGCCATACTACAAGCTCCGGCCACCAACCCGGCAATCCCGGTGAGGATCATGGTCTTTACATCATTCCGGACCGCCCCAACTCCCAACATCAGTGATGCTGTCGAGAGAAGGCCATCGTTGGCGCCCAACACGGCGGCTCTAAGCCACTGTGCTCTTTTAGAGTAGTCAAAAACCTCCACCTCCGGTCCCTGCATGGTTTGTGCATCGTCAGGGATCGCAAGCTTAATTTCATTTAAGGATGGTTGTGGTTCAGTAGTTTGGTTGGTATTTGCCATGAAAGAAGAAGAAGAAGCAGCAGCAGCTAGGAATTAAAGAGAGGAATATGTGTGTGAGAGAGAGAGAGAGATTGTTTATGTGAAGAAGTGTGAAGGACACACGCCCCCAATATATAGGAGGAGTTTAAGGGTACTGTAGGAGATGTTGATGGCCATTTGGCATAGTGTCGTGGGGTATTGTTTCAAGGGATCTGATGCGTTCACACTTGTAAAAGGAAATAAATAAACGTGATTTTTTAATACAAAAATGTTGTTCGAATGAGATAATTTGGGACAAATAAAGATGGTTAGATTTGCTTGTAAGAAATATAAACTAATTAAATAAACTCTGCGGGCTGGCCTACCGGAATTCCATTAAACTCTGCGGGCTGGCCCGCTGGGTGAGAATTCGGTCATAATGTCTTATGATGTATGAGGTCAAGTTCGAGCCTTTGGATATATAATTTTTTATAGAAATACCCTCACGTGTTAAGTTATATTCAGGTTAAACTCTAAATAAGAAATTATTCATTGCAATTGTTACAAAAATGACGTAGTACAACTGATAGTTATAAACATTCTCCCAAAAAAAAAGTGGATCTACAATAGAACTAAAAAAAACTGATATATATGCTTTATTAAAGTTTTTGTTACCAACTGTTACATCACGTCATCCTTACAACGATTGCAATAAATAATTTCTCGCCCTAGACATGTCGGATACACCTAGCTTGTAGTGTACTTATCTTTGCTTCGACTGTTGAGCGTGGTTTGCTAAAAATTTGAAAGTGATCGACAACTTTGGTTTGGCCTGGAATATGAAAAATATATATAATGTGGCATTTTTGTGGATGCCACACTCCCCTCAGTAAAATATAGATGAATCTGCAATCCCATTTATTTATATGATAAAAAATTATATGTTACTACAACCAATATATATACAACACCAAATGCATAGATCTCAAGTGGTTTTGAAATTTGTATCTACCATATGGTATCTATCTTATTTTATTTTATTTAGCCAACAATTCAATGGCTCGGGGTGCTGCATGATAATTAAATTTTCGTATTTGCATTATTAAATTCCAGCCATGGATGTGGCAAGGACTTCTATCTTTTGTACTGTTTTTATCATGTTAATTTTCATTTGTAAATTGATATTTGTCCACTGTCAATCTAATTTTTTATTTGCATTTTGGAAATTAAAGTAATTGAACAAGTTATATATTTTGAAATAAATTATTTTAATGCTATACATACAGATAATTTCTCAGGTAGAAAAATGGCTAACAAAGGGCGAGTTGGACTCATGTTAGTTGGCTATCCAAGTACCACGTCTAGGCAAGAGATATCCGAATAGTTCAAAACAAAGTCCACAGTTGTGTACATATATGTTATTTTATATATTTATGCTACAATAAGTACTCCGTATATTATTTAAATACTTCAAAGGTCTTGTGGTGTAGTGATATTTTCTCTACTTTCAAAAGTAGATGATAAGAGCTCGAATTCTCAAAAATAATGTGTAATGAGGTATGTGTTTCTTGTCAATCATTTGAATTTATTAAAAAATTAAGTCCAATAATCCAAACCAACCCAATTGTTATAACTTATACGACTAGCCTAACAATACAGCCCAACCCAATTTGATATCATTTTCTGTTTTAAAATATAACTAACCCAGCCCATTATTTAATTTCCAAAGCCCATTTCCTACTATCCTCCTATTCGTATTGGCATAATGAGATAAGTGGTCCAATTGCTATGCATTATGTAAACATAAATTTATATAGATATATAGTTTCCGTCACGCCCAAGATCGGAGTCCACCACACAGATAAACTAAGGCCTCACAAACATAAACATCCATGTGAATCTGTCTCAACATACACATCCACCTCTCTATTCCCATTATAAAACCATAATTGAAAAATAGAAGGTAAGATACTCATATTACAACTTTTAAGGCTCACAGTTTGTAATAACATTTATTACATGCCAAGGATGTAACTGAGTCAACACCATACACATTGTCCCACTAATATGCATTGTCTTGTAAACAAAAGAGGATATAGCTGGAGAGGAACGTCCTTTGTGACTTTCTTTTCCTGACCTGAAAAGATGTGTATAGAATAGAAATGAACAATCACAGCTAAGTAGGAGTTGCTTAAAGCGCACTCCTTGATACTTCCGTAAATCTAAACAAAGAATAGACATATGATAAAGGGGTCATGCAGGTTTGAGAACATAATATCATGTCAGATAATAAAATGAAGTGCAATGCAATGCCAATGCTAATGCCAAAGACACTTCCCACTTTCCTGAAACCTCACCCCAATCACTAAAAAGTTAATGTAACCCGGTTCGAGGCAAGCCTCCTCGGCACCACGAGAAGATAATTGGTCATCTATCCTTGACACAAGGCTATCCCTTGCCGTCATTTGGAACCTAGTGACACAACCACACGTAGGATATTTTCCTTTGCCTTCTCTCAATTTCATTAATTACTACACGGACACAAGGCTTCCCCTTGCCGTTTGGCTTCCATAATCGTTCTTTTCAAATCTTTTTTTGCAACAACCATCTCATGAAATGTCTCCACTTCCCTATGCCAAGTAAGATGATCACATGATATTGTAAATCGTAATTTTGTCACATGTCACATTTCCTATCATTTTCAGCCAAGGTAAAATAAAGTAAGCATGCTATTCACCAACATCAAGCATGTTACCACATTTAAAATTTAGCATTCAAAAGAAAAACTTTAAGTGTAAACATGGTATGATAAACAATTAAAGAAGATTAAATTCACAAGAAACAAAGGTTCTGGACCTTAGGACAACCCCTACCTCAATTGGAATGAAAATCCCAATTATCACCGAAATGAAATCGCCCCAAAGTTTTCTGTTCGCAAAACAGATTTTTCAGCTTGACACCTTCAACTTTAAAAATTCATAAAAAATTCAATTCTCATCCAAATTGAATGAATCCAAAGTCAATTGAAAGTTTAAATACTATAATTTGAAAATATAAATTTATTTTAACAAAACCCATTCTCTAAAAGTTTTGACACAAAATTTCGAATCTAATTCTGTCCAGAAAACAGATTTTCAACCTGTAGTTTCCAACTTTAAAAATTCATGGAAAATTCAATTCTCACCCAAATTGACTGAATCCAAAATCAATTGAAAGTTTAAATACTATAATTTGAAAATATCAATTTATTTTACCAAAATCCTTTCCCCATTGAAACAGTTTTGGTGAGAAAAATTGGAGAAATTCTGTCTAGCAAGCTGACTCCAATTTCAGAATTTCATAGTAAATTTATTTTTTAATCAATTTGTGTGAAACCAAGTCTCAATGGAAGATAAATAACTATATTATCCTAATATCAATTCATTCCTACAAGATAAATTTCGAATTTACATGAATTTTGGGCAGAACATCATAATGTAATTACTGTCAAAAAATTTTAGAATGCATAAAAGTTCAATTAAGTTTTTCAAGCAAGTAACAACTCAATTAAAGAGATAAAATGTGTGAGTTTTTGGACAATTCTACCTCAAAAGGAGCAAAAACCCTTGCCACCAATACTTTAAAATCACCAAAGGAATGAATCAAAACCACCAATCCAAAAGGAAGAACACTTACTTGAAATACAGCCACAACCTTTCCCTTATTAAAATCCCAATGAGAAATTGTTTACAATTTTGATACCAAAAGAAAGCCCATAACTTTGACAACACTTTGCATTCACAAGCCATCTCCAAATTCTCCAACACAAGTATGTCAAATTGGCAAGTAAAGAGATGACTATGGCGAAGGAAACAAAAGGGACGAAATGGCCTTCGGCAGAATCATTAAGAAGTCTTATGCCACACATAGGACTAAAGTGCAGCCAAGTGGACACCCATGTGTCACACCCACACTTGGTCAAAGGCAAGACCACGCTAAATGACTAAAAAGCGCCTTAAGTCTTTCCAAATACCAAATATGCCCTTTGCCTACTAAAAGTCCACAATACCCTCCATAAAATAACCAAATGCTAATTATGCCATTTACATATTAAAAGTCTACTTTGCCCCTCATGAAATAGACAATTTACAATTTAAATAAAATTAATCCCATTAACAAAATAACCATAGTCCCACAACAAAATAAAAATGCATAAATGCTAAAACGTTCGGAAAAATGGTAACAGTGTAAACCATTATGGTTTCTATCTAATTTTAAATTTTTATTTAATTTTTAATTAATTTTAAAACTTTTTTTAATTTTTCTTAAAATATAATTTTTACCAACACATCCGATAACTTCTCTCTTGTACCACGTCTCAATCTTCAATTTTATTTTATAGTTGAATTAGTAAATATTAGTCGTGTACATCCCTTATAATCTTAACATACCACTTTAAAAATCACTCTCTTTGTGGCTCCTTTGCTTAGATGGAAATAACAAGAAAGGAAAAAAAATGAAAAAAAAAAAAAAGGTGCAGTGAATGAAAAAGAAAATTGATTTTCTAGTATGTATTTTGTTAGTATGAAAATTTATTCAAGAAAATTATAGAAAAAATATCATATTATAATTTGGATACCTAAATTACCCTTATTTTATAAAAATAATAAAATAATAAATAATTAGTAATAAAATATATTAAAAAATTAATAAAGTTTTCAATTAATTCAGACATTTGAATAACTATTGTTCATATATGATGAAAAACAATCAGGAATGAAAGTCAAGTTAAATAAAAATTTATATATCAATAGTAATTGGGTAAAATAATATCAATGAGAAGTTGTTAAGTAAAATAGGAACACTAAATAAAAAAACGATGTTATTACGGGAAGATAAAATTTGCCCGTACAATATTTTGTATAAAATAAAGAATTACAAAAATCTTAATTTTCTAAAACTTTTCTTTTTCTATCTAACCAAACTAAAAAAAAAAAAAAATTAAAATATTTTTATTTCCTCTTTTTTTAGTTGATTCTATTTCACAAACGAAGCTAAAAAGTTTGGAGCTGATTTTTATTTTCATGATCATTAAGCCGCGCGAAGATATTCAATACTCCTCCGCCCA